CAACATCTCTAAAATTAGAAATATCCTGTCTCAGAGTGACGCTGAAAAACTAGTTCATGCATTTATTACTTCCAGGCTGGACGACTGTAATTCATTATTATCAGGAAGTCCTAAAAACTCCCTGAAAAGCCTTCAGCTGGTCCACAGCAGATGGCCCCGCCCCTCCCTGAGCCTGTTGGAGGTTTCTTCCTGTTAAAAGGGAGTTTTTCCTTCCCACTGTCGCCAGCTGCGGCTCACAGTGTAAATAAATCCAGCTCACAGGAGTTAACAACACAACAGCAGGCTTGTGTTTAAAGGTAAACAGTCACAGGTGTCGGAAACACGCAGGTAACATTCAGGTAACGCGGGTCTGACTGTAACCGCAGCGTTAAGGCCGGTTACATAAGGTGTCTGCGATCACGTGACTGAATCACGGGTTCACCTGCAGACAGGGAGTCCCGGGACCCCTTTAAGGACCGCGGTCCACCTGCTGCTCGTCCCCCACGAACCCGCTCTGTCTCACCTGAACACCTCGCGAGCCTGGCCGCTCTCCGGTGACGTCTCCCTGAAGAACGGGACGACCCGGGACAGGCTGGCCCTGCGGCGGGACGCCCCGGTGCCGCCGGCTTTATCTGCCACCCCGCCGACGAAGCCCCCAGCCCGGGTCAGCGCCGTGGTCTGCTTCTTCAGGAACTTCTCCAGAGGTTTCATCCCCGCAGGCATGGTGGGAGTCTGGGCGGAGGAGGCGGCGGTACTCGGTGGGTGGATGCGATGGGAGGGGGCGGCTGCTACATCACCGGCCCCGCGGGTCGGGGCGGGCAGGTGAGCGCGGACCGTCCGAGACTCTGCGGGCTGCTGCGGACGCCAGCCGGCTCTACCCCATCGGCGGAGGCGGAGGTGCTCCTCCGTGCTCCTCTCCTGCTTTCACACCGACTCTTCCGCGGCAACGGCCCCGGCTTCTGCTGCACCGTCCCCGGCCTCTCCGCTCGGGCTTCGGCCTCGGTCCGCTCCTCCTCTTGCTCCTCACCTGAGCACGCGCCCGGCGCTGCGTTCCGGTGCTGTGGGTTTTCTGGGCAGCGGTGCTGGTTCGGTTTGGTTTCCAGGTCCGATGCTGCGGAAGCTCCGACGGTCCGCGAGACTGTGCGCGAGCTCTCTCTCACTCTCTCCCTGCCTCTCTCTCTCCTCCCCTTCTGCTAAATTAAAGCGATGAGAAGTGAGTGTGAACGTGCACGCTCCCCCGGCCCTCCCCGCGCTCATCTGCTGCAGTTGCGCGCTCCCGCGGCACTGGCAGGGCGGGCACGCGCAGACACATTTACTTGCAGTGGTGTAAAATTGATGGATATGGAAATATCCCCGACGACAGGAGCGCTCATTTCAGCCGGAAGTACCGCGAGACTTCAGCTCCAGATCACGTTACTCTTATCCACCTGCACGCGCACACACCTTTAGCACAACCACGATCAAAGACCAGCCAGGACTTTTCACAGAGGTCAGAGGTCACCTGGATTTAGCGTCACACCGACATTATTGACTGTCTGCGAGGTCACCTGACCGTGTATTGATCTGTGTGCTGGAACATGATCGCAACAATCAGCCGCACAGCAAACTGTAACCCGACACACACACACCTCTGCTCCTCCTCCTGCAGGAGCAGCCAGCAGCATGTTGCTGTAACCCGACACCACCGCACCACCTGAGACCACACCCCCATCACCTGAGACCACACCCCCATCACCTGAGACCACACCCCCATCACCTGAGACCACACCTCCACCACAGACACAAATCATGAGCATAGAACCAAAGAAATGATGATGATTATAACAGCAAGCATCAGCTTTGCTCACATACGCCTGTGATAATAGACCAACGCGTTTCGGCTTGTGGCCTTCATCAGGGTCATTGTGGAAGGCCACAAGCCGAAACGCGTTGGTCTATTATTAAAGTTGTTCATCTTGCCTCAAGTGTTGCTGGAGTTCCTGCTTTGTGAATTCTTTTATCCTCTCCATGCACCTTGGAAGCAGGTGAAGTTGTGCCAGAAAATTGTTTTTGCTCACATACGCCTGTTTCAGCGGGAACGCGTCTGGATGACCTCACCTGTGCATGACAGCGTGTTCTCAGCTCACCTGAAGCTCGGACTCGGAGGACTCGACTCACACTAACACACATCCAGCTGTTCTCAGCGTGTCTGTGTACAGGATCAATGATCAGGGCGAGATCACCAATCCCTGAGGGGAGCAGGCTGAGGGGCACACCTGATTGGACAGGATCCCAGCTGTCCTTTGACCTTTGACCCCCACAGCCAAGAGTCCAGACTGCAGCCCACGGGACTTATTCAGGAGCAGTTTGGAGACTTAGACTTGGAGAGTTTTATTGTAATTGTCTTGCACAGCGAAATCGGGCAGCTGGACCACAAGCTGCAAAAGTAACGAGGGGAAAATAATAATAAGCAATATATATGTGTGAGTGAACTATATGGTGTCTGCGTTTGTACTGATCGAGACACATTTTAACAGCCGGACGGCTTTTTGAACTTTGACATGAGCAGAGATTTTGACTGTAACTCGTTAATGTTGAACCCGCCTTCAGTATGAGTGACACCGTGTGTGTGTGTGTGCATGTGTGTGTGTGTGTGTGTGTGTGTGTGTGAAAGAATCTTCACCACTTTTCTAATATTTGAACCCAGTGTTTGTGTTACAGTGAGGCTGGAGGACGAGGGGATTTCACAGAAAAAGAAAGAAAGCTTTATCACACAGGTGCACTGTGACCTCTGTGTGCTCATGTTTGACCGAACATGGCGCGTGTGACTCCTGGGGCTCACGTTTGCACATGCTCAGTGGTCTCTGGTTGCACACAGACAGTTCAGGTGTTCTGAGGTCAAACAGGTGAAGTCCTGACACATCTCTGAAATCATCATCATCATCATCATCTGTGCTGCACACAGACGAAGCTGTCTAAGCTTGAGAGTTGGAGCTGACACAGTGGGCCTCTGTTAATACTGTTATTATCAGAGCTGTTTAAACAGAAAGTCAGGAGCAAAAAGCTTTGGCCAGTAAAACCAGACGAATGAAGAAATGCTGAAAAAGAATCAAAGCAACAGGGAAGAAATAAATCCTGCACATATGGAAAGAAAAAACTAAAGTATCCAAGATTAAGTAAAAATATGAGAATAAGAACGAAATCACAGAAAGCTGACAAAGATTTAAAAAATATTTTCACGAGAAAAATGAAACGTGAAAGTAAAGATCCTGTAAAGACACTCGCTGCTAACATCACAGATCAGGAGCCAATTAGAAGGCAGGAAGCTCCTCCTGTTCAGAAGTCCTTACATCATCATCTACATTCAGCTGTCAGTCACAGTGTCAATGAGCCCATCACCATGGTTACGGCAGTGTGTGTGACCACGGCAACAAAGATACTGCCGTTTGTTTTTTCTTCTTCTTTTCATCAGCTTCATTTACAGGGGGGGCGGGGGATCCTTCTGCTTCACCTGCTGCTGAATATTCATGAGGAGGAGCCACTGCCTGCGAGCTGATTGGCTACCAGCAGCTGCCAATCACACATTTATATAAGCGCTGCAGCCCGCCCCCTGCAGGTCATAAATATTCATATTAACGGCCAGAAAAACAGAAGAGTGTGTGCGTGTGTGTGTGTGTGCGTGCGTGCGTGTCTAC